TGTTTTAAATTTGTTGTTAGCCACCCTGAGCCCGGTTTTCTGAACCGGGAAGGGCGGAGTATAAATAAAAATTTATTATTATATTTATTATAAAGAGCCGTCCCTTGGAGGAAGGAGCAAGCTTGTTTTCTCCTGCTCTGGAGAGCAGGACTCGAACCAATGTCTTGAAATGGCAAGAAAAGAGATTCCAACTCAATATCAGGAAGAACTTTCTCACTGTAAGAGGTGTTTGGCAATGGAACGGTCTCCCTTGGGAAGTTGTGGACTCTCCTTCCTTGGAGGGTTTTAAGCAGAGGTTCGATGGCCGCCTGTCGTGAATGCTTTAGCTGAGATCCCTGTGTTGCAGGGGGTTGGACTAGATGGCCTCTGGGGGTCCCTTGCGACTCTACCATTCTATGAGGGTGCTCTTGTGCTTGAATTCTGTTTCCGGGCAGGGCCGGATTTAGGTTTGATGAGGCCCTCAGCTACTGAAAGGTAATGGGGCCCTTTATATGTCCAGCTGTCCTTTGTCAACAACAAATTGCCGCTGTGTTTTGTGTTGAATATATGCTATATGGTAATTTATGGACCTAATGGGCTACTTTTAAAATGAGGCTGCATTTTAAATTGCATTTTAACCTGTATTTTAAATTGGATTTTTAAAATTATTATTATTATGTTTTTACTGTAATTTTAATGGTGTTAGCCGCCCTGAGCCCAGCTCTGGCCGGGGAGGGTGGGGTATAAATAAGATTTTTTATTATTATTATTATTATTATTATTATTATTATTATTATCTCAAGCCATTTGACCATGTTGCCATGCAACCAGTCCGTGCAGAATGTAGGCACCCTATACATAGAAAGGAGCAAACCAGTGATATTTTAGGGAGCAGGCTAGCTTACATGCTAGGAGCCTACACAACACACAACACTGTTGCTGTATTTAGGTTTTATTTTATTTGTTTTTTATCTTATATTTTGGAAATGTACATCCAGTCCCCCCCCCCTTTAAATTTTTTGGGGGCCCTCCAAGAGAGTGGGGCCCTAAGCTGTAGCTTGTTTAGCTTATACGTAAATCCGGCACTGCTTCCGGGCCTCTTTCCGTAGCACCAGAGTAGCCACTGTGAGAACAGGACACTTGGCTAAGATGGACCACTGGCCTGATCCTTGTCACTGGAGACAAGAAAACATCTTCAGTCACATCTGCCCTCAAGGCAAGCATTAAGGCCTCCTTCAGTCTTCTGGACCAGAGTTTTCCTCCGTTCCACAAGGACCGCCTTGTCAACATCTGTCTGTCTCAAGAGACAATGGAGTGCGCCTCCGGGGGTGAAGTTGAACCGCTGTGTTAGTGGCACCAAAGTGACCGCCCTGGGCAGTGTGTCTGGAGGTCCTGGGCTGCCCAGATGACAAGACCCCCCTCTCAGCCTTGCTTCCCAAAGGAAAGCAGAGCAAGATATTTGGCACCAGCTTGGCTGTGGGAGTTGCCGGAAGGAGAAGTACAAGGAGCCGTCCAACCCCCTTAGGGACTCCACTTCTGGTTTGTGCAGACCCTCAAAGTGTCCCTAATTTCTAGGGATGTCCCTGATTTAGAGAAGCCATCCCGGTTTCTGATTTGATCCCAGAATATTCTGCTTTTCCTTAGGATGTCCCTATTTTCATTGGAGGCTACGGAGTTATCCAACTCCGGAGCCATCCCATGTTGTTGTTGTTGCTTAGTCGTTTAGTCATGTCCGACTCTTTGTGACCTCCTGGACCAGAGCACGCCAGGCACTTCTGTCTTCCACTGCCTCCTACAGTTTGGTCAAACTCATGCTGGTAGCTTTGAGAACACTGTCCCACCATCTTGTCCTCTGTCGTCCCCTTCTCCTTGCGCCCTCCATCTTTCCCAACATCAGGGTTTTTTCCAGGGAGTCTTCTCTTCTCATGAGGTGGCCAAAGTATTGGAGTCTCAGCTTCAGGATCTGTCCTTCCAGTGAGCACTCAGGGCTGATTTCCTTCAGAATGGAGAGGTTTGATCTTCTTGCAGTCCATGGGACTCTCCAGAGTCTCCTCCAGCACCAGAATTCAAAAGCATCCATTCTTCGGCGATCAGCCTTCTTGATGGTCCAGCTCTCACTTCCATACATCACTACTGGGAAAACCAGAGCTTTAACTATACGGACCTTTGTTGGCAAGGTGATGTCTCTGCTTTTTAAGATGCTGTCTAGGTTTGTCACTGCTTTTCTCCCAAGAAGCAAGTGTCGAGTCTTTTAAAAAATGTTTAATGTTTTATTCTGTTTCTTATATATGTTGGAGTGCTGGGGCAACCCAATAAAAGCTTGGGGTAGAAACAGTAAAACGATAATGATGGAATGCGACGTCCCTATTTCCATCGGAGAAATGTCGGAGGCTATGTCGGGTTCGCTCCTGAGCCTTTTCTGCTCCCACAAGGCAGCAGAGGATTCAGAATCAAGCCCATAACGCCCCCTGCAAGGCAGTCCACTCAGATGAATCAACACAGAGCAAGAAGAAGAAAAAGCGCATTTTGTGCATAACCTCCCAAACTTTTTGGGTTTGTTTGTTTGAGCGCTGCGTAGCGGACGGAGGGGACCGGCAGGGGCTAACAGGACAAGGGCCTGTTATTTTGCCAGGGGAGGCTCTCCCCCCCGCTTTACCCCCACTTTTCGGCTTAACAACAGGGCCCGGTCAGGTGGGGAGGTCACGCCAGGGTTGGCAGCGTCCGGGCCAGCGGTGGGGTGAGGCCTGATGACAAGGTGACGTCACCCTGAATAGGCCGAGAATCCCCTGTCACAAAGGGTTAGCAACGCTCCCCGGCCCCTTTGTCCTAGCAACCGCTGGGTATTAGGAAAGCGTAGGCCGGGGCAGAAGCCATGGCAACCGGGCCACAGGCTTGGGCTTGGATAACATGTCGTCCCCCCCGGCCAGCCCCCCAGCTGCCCCAAACCTGCCCCACGAACGGGGGCCTTTTAATGCGCCAAAGTGAGGTTTCGCCCGTTTTCTGTGCGCACCTCCCCAGCCGAGCACCGCACTGTTGCATCAAAATGGACTCAGCTGAGTCACCCGAGAGAGAAAGTTTGCTTTTGAAAGTTCTGGCAATTCTCCCTGACCACGACTCTGAACGTACGCAGAGTGCCTTTCCCCCCAGGGGGGAAGAACCTTGGATGAAAATAAAAAGGGCGAAAGGGCAGGAGGTCTCTAGAACGCCTTCCTGGAGGGAGACGGCTTCTGCTTACAAAAACGGCCTTGTTTCTGAGCATGTGCAGAGTGCTTCTCCACGCAAAACAGGAGGCAGCTTTCTATATTTTAAATGGACCCGGAGAACAACCCGGCTTCGATTCCCTCCTCCTAGCCCCAGGCATGTACGAGGCGAGCTGCGGTTAGGGACAGAAATGCCCTCTGCATATGCTCAGAGGTGCTCATTATGACTGTTTCATGGCTTCTGCCGTTTTGTCGTTGACAGCAGGGCCTGAAGCGAAGGCTGTGACTGAGGGGCTGAAGGGTTCAGCCAGGACTGGGAACTGGGAAAGAGGGGGGCAGAGGAGGGGAGAGGAACCCCAGAAGGCTGCCTTATGCCAAGCCAGATTGATGGCCCATTTAGCTCAATACTGCCTACACTGGCTGGCAGTGGCTTTCTAGGGATCCAGGCATGGGTCTGTCTTAGCCCTGCCTTATATGTGGCCTCAGAGCAGTCTCCCCAATGTTCTTCAAAGCAGATCCTGTACTCTACCGCTGAGCTAAGAGGTTTTCTTGGCTCCTACGGGGATTCGAACCCGCAGCCTTGGCGTTATTAGCCCTGCACCTGAGCTAAGTGGCACAACCACACACAGTCCCATCTCAGCTGCCCCCACCAGGACAGCTTTCCGTCACACCCTGCTCTCTCCCTTTCTAGATTTCTTCCCTGCGAAATGTTCCTTTTCACTGCACATTCATCATAATCTGCACTCGGGGCGCAATCAGGAAGGTCACAAGCAATCCTGTTTGCCCCTGAAAAGCCTTTGGTGCGGCCACACTGCTTCACTCTTATCTGGTGAGCACCCTGCAGCTTTCTGCCGAAATCCCGCCATTCTGCCTCAAATCTTCCAGTTTTATTTTGGCCCCGCTTCCGTCGTGTTACAGAATCAACTGAAGTGGCGTGACTCCACCGCAAAGATTGTGTCGGCACCGCGCATCACTTTGAAAGTCACGCCTTCCCGCAAAGAAACTATAGTTTACCCACTCACAGTGCTACAAACCGTGGCGTCTTCAATAAACTACAGTTCCCAAGATTCCTCGCAGAATCTTGTGACCCGATGTGCTATTCTCGTGCCCCGAAAGCCAGTGTGGGGCAGCAGTGAGAGTGTGGGGCTCCCCATCTGGCCACAAAGTTTGCTGGGCGACCCTTCTCGGCCTAATCTACCTTGCAGGTTCGTCGTGAGGATGAATCGAGGGAGTACCCTTTATGGCACCTTGAGAAAAGGGTGAAATAATGAATGTGGCGAAAGGGATGAATGTTGCAGAAACATCACTCTGGAGCGGGCACAGCCCTTCCCAGCTTTTCTGCCTGGAAACTGTGACTCAGGCCTCTCCGGCGATTGTGTGACTGGCTGCACAACCGCAGCTGGGAGGCCAGAGGAGCGAAAAACAACAACAACTTGGCCTCTGTGCCTTTTTCTTCTTCTCTCCAGATGAGGAAGTGCTGAGCAGAACGAAACTGGCTTCCTTGGCGCGGAGGGTTCAGGGACAACCTCGAGCAACTCCCACAGAAGTGGGAAGAGGCCTCTGGGCTGGGGGGTGCAGAGGCAAAATGGGCGTGGGCCTGCCCCCTTTCCCCCGGCATGCTAATGAGGTCCAAGGTCCCTTCTCCATTGGCCGGTGGCTAATGCGTCCCTGTGAGCTCAGCCTTCCCTGGAGCTTTAAATGGGACCCCGGAGTCCGGGCTCTGGTCTCTTGGGCTGGGCAACTGCCACCCTCCCCTGGCAGCAGCGGGCAGGGGCCAGGAAGGTCAACAGCTGGAGCACAGGAGCTGCGAGGAGGCGGCAGATGGACTCCCAAACAAACAGGTGGGCAGGGAGGTCGCAGGCTAGGCCAGGGTTCATTCCTGGTGTGTGTGTGGGGGGGTCTTTCCCCCCACCCCAAGGTGCCCCAAACCTATTGGGTGCTGTTTCCCCCCCTCTCCCTTCCTCTCTCCTGGAGATCCACAGCAAAACAGCCTTGGAGAGGCGTTTGAGGGTTTGTGTCTGTGTGTGGGGCGTTTGGGAAGAGCGGTGAGCAACTTGTGGTCTTCTAGCTTTCGTTTGCTTTCTCTCTCTCCCCTAAATCACTTTCCTTGAGTGTTTCTGCTTTCGCCTGGAAGGCTGCTGTAAGAAAGGGCTGCATCTACAGCAGGCCTCCCCTAGCCCCACAACCTGGCTCCCTCCAGATGTTTCGTACTACAACTCCCAGCAGGAACCAGGTTGCGGGGACGTTGCCCTAGATCCCGACGCAGGGATGATATGGGCTCCCCTCTACTCTCCTGTTGGGCTTCTTTCTTCAGAGGTACGTCCCTTTTAGCTTGGGGGGGGCTCACTCCTAAGCGAGTGGGTTTAGGACAGCAGCTTTGAATGTGGGTTTTATTTAAGGACGGGACACAGAAGGGGCAGGATTGTGCAAAACCAGTCAGAGCGAATTGGACCAGGAAGCACTGCGTGTCTCTGAAAGTGAGGGATATGAAAACCAAACTCGAGGGACCCAGGAAGGGTTTTCCGCTGCGATCAAACCAGAACCGACAGAACCCGACGGCGTTTTCAGGCAGTGCGGTATAGTGGTTAGTGCGCTGCCGGAGACCAGAGTCTTTGGTCTGCTCTTAAGAGAGGGGAAGAAGACAGGTTGGCCAGGAATGGGGTGAAGGGAGAGAGAGAATTGCTGCTTTTTATAGCTGCTCCAGGTTGATCAGAAGCCCCCGACTTCTAACTTCACCCTAAACACTCTGCGACGGCGCCCAGTGATACCCGCAACCTTGCACTTCCTCCAGCAAGAGAGGCAGGAGATGTCCTAGGCAGGCAGGGTGGGGCGACCAGAAGTTCAACAGGAAACAGCTGTTTGCAGCGGGTGATTAATGGAGGTGCTTGGAGTGAAAAGGCGAGATTTATTTCTGCAGATCTTGGTCATAATCTTAACAGGGACAGGCTAGCTTCTCAGGGCAGGATCAGAAAGGGGCTGGCTGGCTGGCTGGCTGGCCTTAATGTGTATAGGTCAGACCCACACTATTTAAAGCACATCAGAAACTGCACCCCCAAGAGACTCCTGGGAAAAGTAGTTTGTTCAGGAACTGGAACTCTGCAACGGGAAAAGTGCCGTTCCCAGAATTACTGGGAGGACGTCATGCGCCTTTCTTTTGTGCATTATCTCCCACCTTCCTGTTCAAGGGGGTGGGTTCGTAGTCCTCCCCCTCCTCAGAAAACTAGGTTAGGCTGAGGGGGCAGTGACCGTGTCACCCAGTGAGCTTTGTGGCCGAGTGAAGATTCGAACTCGGATCTCCCAAGTCCTCGTCCGGCACTCTAACCACTATACCACACTGGCATTAACCGTGAGGCAGCCCTTTGTTAGGCACCTTTAGGTGCCGGGCGACAAGGGTCCTCTTCACCCAGGCCTTGAGCTGACTGACATCCGACACCCTTTGAAATCTGTTGTGGGAGAGGGGACGGTTGGTTTGCCGTTGTCCTTGTTTTTATATCCTTCTTATTTTTACTATGTATTTCGTGGGGTTTTTTGTATCAATATTTTGACGGAAAAGGTTTCGGTTACGAAGAAAGGGATGCGAAGAAAAAGAAACGAAAAACAAAACGGGACATAAATGCGTAGAAAGAAACAATATATGAATATATACAATGTAGGAAAAAATACAATGTAATGTACTCCCATGCATTCTGGAACGGATTTGATATTATTATCCTAATACATATGTAAACATGAATAGCCTACTGTTGTAGTTTTATGTTGCGAAGATCTGTCCTGAGATCTGGCGGTACAGTGGTACCTCAGGTTAAGTACTTAATTCATTCTGGAGGTCCATACTTAACCTGAAACTGTTCTTAACCTGAAGCACCACTTTATCTAATGGGGCCTCCCGCTGCTGCCGCGCTGCTGGAGCCGATTTCTGTTCTCATTCGGAAGCAAAGTTCTTAACCTGAAGCACTATTTCTGGGTTAGCGGAATCTGTAACCTGAAGCATATGTAACCTGAAGCGTATGTAACCTGAGGTACCATTGTATATGAATTGAATAAATGATTAAAAATAAAAATAAAACCACAGTCCGAGAGCACCCTCTGGCTAGGTAGGGGGTTCCCTTTCTGTTTCAGAATTTGAAGGAGCCCACCCTGGGTTAACTTTTGCCCTCCCAACGGCAGGATTTATTGGCACCCGATATTCTAGTTGCCCTGCTCTGCTGCGAGGCAGCGGAGAGGGGCTAGGAAGCATGGGGGCTGGCGCCCCTCAGTTGGGGGGCTGGTGTGGACCAATAATAATAATAATAATAATAATAATTTATTATTTATAGCCCACCCATCTGGCTGGGCTTCCCCAGCCACTCTGGGCGGCTTCCCCAAAAAAATATTAAAATACTGTAATACATCAAACATTAAAAGCTTCCCTAAACAGGTCTGCCTTCAGATGTCTTCTAAAAGTCTGGTAATTGTTGTCCTCTTTGGCATCTGGTGGGAGGGCGTTCCACAGGGAGGGCGCCACTACCGAGAAGGCCCTCTGCCTGGTTCCCTGTAACTTCTCACAGGGAGGGAACCGCCAGAAGGCCCTCGGAGCTGGACCTCAGTGTCCAGGTAGAACGATGGGGGTGGAGACGCTCCTTCAGATATACTGCACCGAGGCCGTTTAGGGCTTTAAAGGTCAGCACCAACACTTTGAATTGTGCTCGGAAACGTACTAGGAGCCAGTGTAGGTCTTTCAAGACCGGTGTTATACGGTCTCGACCAAGTATAGAAGAACAGGATGCCGGGTTTGTTTTGACACGGAGAGCTAATCCATTAAGCCGACCTTCAGGCTTCCAAGGTCTGCTCTCCATCCCTGGGGAAAGCTCAGGGAGAAGTCGTCTAATCTCCCCGCTTCCTCTCCCCACCTGCGCAGGATGGGTGCCCCGCCGCCCAGCCCCCTGAGCCTGGAGTACCTGGACGACATCGACCTGCTGCGCTTTGAGGTGAAGCAGGAAGTGTCCCGCACGGGGGGCAGCTTCTCCCTGAGCTCCACACCCTGCAGCTCCGTGCCCCCTTCGCCCACCTTGGACAAGGCGGGCGACCCCAAGTCCACCCTCGAAGAGTTGTACTGGATGGCCACGCTCCACCAGACGCTGGCGGCGGCGGCGGCAGGGGGTGGCCCCGAAGCCCAGATGATGCCAGGTCTGGACGAGGCGGTGGAGGCTCTCCTGGGCGTCCCGGTGATGGATGGGGGTCTTCGGGGCGGAACGGCCCCACAGCTCCAAGGTTTCTTAGGGGCCATCGAGGGAGCCGGTGGGGAACAGCAGCAGGTGAGAGGGAGCGGGAAGAGGTTGGCGGGTGGGTGGGTTGAATTATGGGCGTTTGGGGAGTGGGAGACAGAATGGGGGGGCTCTGTAAAGTGCCGAGAGGTTCGTAGGAGAAAGGCGGGAGAGACGGAAGGGTCCTTTTTCAGACCAGAGGCCTATTTTTCCGTTCCAGAGTTCAATAAAAGAAAGGTCCCCCTGAGACAGCTCAGTCGGTTAGAGCCGGAGGGTCTTAATCACAAGGTGGTGGGTTTGAGCTCCATGTTATGCGAAAGATCACTGCATTTCAGGGGGTTGGACTAGATGACCCTCGGGTGCCTTCCAGCGCTACAATTCTGGGATTCTAACATGTGCAACATGTCATACCAGGAAATAAACAAGCATAGGCCCCTCCCACTGCTGAAGTTAAGAGGGTTTTATGCCCAAGACTTTTACTGCCTGCTATTCGCTTTCCAAGCACTGGAGATGTAAAGACGAATGCCCGCTGCCCTTACATGCCTCTGAGAGCCACAATGTGGAGATCTACCAGAAAAGTACAGTGGTACCTCTGGATGCGAACGGGATCCATTCCGGAGCCCTGTTCACATCCTGAAGCGAACGCAACCCGCATCCACGGGTTGCGATTCGCCGCTTCCGTGCATACGCGTGATGTCATTTTGAGCGTCTGCGCATGCGCAAGCGGCGAAACCCGGATATAACGCGCTCTGTTACTTCTGGGTCGACACGGAGCGCAACCCGAAAAGGCTTAACCTGAAGCGACTTCAACCCGAGGTATGACTGTAAATAAATATAAACAAACATAACATAAAATCATACAATTGTAGAGTTGAACGGGACCCTGAGAATCTTCAGGCCCAACTCCCTACGACGCAGGAATGTTTTGCCCAATGTGGGATTCGAACCACCCCACCCCAAGTTTAAGAGTCTCACGCTCTACCGACTGAGTTATCCGGGCGGGGACAAAAGTTGGCAAGGGGTATTCACAGATAATTCTGCCGTGGAGATTTTCTTCCACCAGGGAGGCTGGTTGGTTACAGGGGGGAAAAACCTGAGGGATTTCCTGAGGGAAATGTCTCCGGAGGGATTTTCGGCTCTCCTACTCACCGGCGTTTCTTCTCCCTTTCCCTCCCTTCCTTTACAGCTGTCCACGCTCTGCGACCGCTTCTCCGATGCGCAGCTGGTCTCCATGTCGGTGCGCGACCTCAACCGCCAGCTGCGCGGCTTTGGCAAAGACGAGGTTCAGCGGCTGAAGCAGAAACGGCGCACGCTCAAGAACCGCGGCTACGCCCAGTCGTGTCGCTTCAAGAGGGTTCAGCAGCGCCACGTCCTCGAGGCCGAAAAGTCCCAGCTGGCGCAACAGCTGGAGTCCCTGCGCGCCGAGGTGGCGAGGGTGGCTCACGAGAGGGACATCTACAAGGCCCGCTGCCAGAAGTTGTTGGGGGACGCCGGGGGGCACTGCGGCGAGGGGGCGGAGCCTCCGGCGCCTCAGCCCACCTCGATGGCACATTTTTACCTATGAGCGGCTCCCTTCCTGGCGCGACGGACTGTGGGTGGGTGGGTGGGGGCGAGGGAACTGGGCGGGTTGCTTTCTTGCCCCACCAACTTGGCCACTGGGGGTCGCTGTGGACCAAGGGGCTGCCCCCTCTTTGCCTCCACTAGGGGGCGACATGAACACAGGCACTCCCCTTTTCCGACACCAGGTGGCGCAAGAGAACATAGGCCACCAGGCGAGGAGACAATCTCCACGGCAAAAGCATCTCTCAGGTCTTGCGGCTGCCGTGCCTCCTTCCCTTCCAGGGAACCCCGGGAACTGATGTTTCCCATGGTTCCCGGTGGCGCCGAAGCCCCGTCGAGTCTGTTGTGTAGCTATCCCGGTTGCTCTTGGGCTTTCTGAGAAGTGTGCTTTCTGCATCGTTATTACCTCCACCGCCAGGCAAAGGAAAAATAATAAAAGCCAGAGAGTGTGTGTGTATGAGAGAGATGATTGAAGACGGCTTCCATTTTCTCCCCAGAGCGACGGTGCATTGGGCAGTGATGTCGTTGCAGCGGGGCCTGGGGAGGCAATTGGGGTCACCGGATTTGGGTTCTTGGGGATCCATGCACCCCGCTTTTGAGCTCATGTCCTGCTTTGCAGATTTCCTCTTAGGGCATCTAGCCGGTCACTGCAAGAACAAGATCCTGGATTCGGCCCTGGGCTCAATCCAGCAGGCTGTTCTGAGGGCCACATACAAAATATGCAATTTTGTATAGGGAAACCGGGCGGATGCCACAAAACCATTTGAGCCCATTTCCAGCAAGGAAAAAATGTGTGGTTGTTTTTTTTTTTGTACACAAATAATCTCACGTTCAGTAGCGGGGTTTTCCTTTGTGGCTCACAATTCCAGACCTGCCGGGCTGGTTTTTGAGGTGGGGAGAAATGGGCCTAGCGTGTCGGGATAGAAATTTCCGGAAATGGGGAAGGAAGCACTTGCTGCGGTTGCTAAGCAACAGCCCCAGCATCCCTCCCAGCCCTTTTCTCAGTCCTGGCAAAACGGCTCAGTGGAACTGAAGTGCAGCGGCCATGTCGTGACGGGGAAGAGAATCGCTGCGCACCTTCTGAGGATTTGGCTTGTTTTGCAGGGAAATTGTTAGGGAAAGGGGTGATATCTAACAGTGCGTCTCAAGGACGCTTTTTGCTCCAAAGGGAGCTGCAGTCTCAGGCCTTCTTCCTGTCAATAACATGATATTTTAAGAGTTTCCCGCCCCCACACGCTAATTCCTCCCAACGTCCCAGGATCAAATCCCCGTCTGGGAACCTCCGTTTTTGACAAAGAGGAGAAACACCACCACTGCAGTTTGTGTGCTCAGTCTTTCTTATTCCGAGAGTCCAAAGAGCAAAGGGCAAGCTAAGTTTTAAAGGAAGATGGAGGCAGCACTTTGGAACATATTCACAAGGGAAGGCTGGGAAATCTAGAAAGTCCACCTTCCCTACTGCCTGGAAAGGGATAATTATATTAATGATTTTTTAAAAAAACTGCATTATATTACGCAGGTCCTATTACTATAAAAAGTGTCTGTGTGTGTGTGTGTGCATTTCAGTGCGATAATAAAAGAGTGCATGTTCAGAATGAAACATAGAGTGCATGTAAAATATGGAAATGGATGCAAATCTGTGTGTGTTTGTGTGTGTGTCTGCGCATGCTGTTGTAGCCACACACTTGCATTAGCTGTGCATGCAACGATGTGTGACAGGGTTTTATGTCTGCACAATGAGCGTACCACACATTTAAAGCACACTTAAAGGGCATGGCATGCCCCCAAAGAACCGTGGGAGCTTGTCAGGTCCTGGGATTCACTGGGGGAATTTGGATGCGTTTTAAATGTGCGTTGAATGTGCTTTAAATGTATGGTGCCATCGGAGAAGCGCACAGAAACAGCAGCGTGCAATCGAGCGCTCCCACAACAAGGGACGCGCAAACGCAATTTATTGTGCAGCTGTGCGCTGTCCCGTTGCAGTCATCCTTGCTGTTAAGCGCACTTAAGATGAACCCTGCGCATGACTCTGAGCATGGACTCGTGCAGGGGTGATTGTGAGTGATCCTTAGCGTGTGTCTGAACGGGTGGCTTGTGGTTTGCTTGCGCATGGGGCAGGGAGGTGGGCATTCGGGGAGAAAGCAGGACGGGGCTGTGGGCAAACGGATGACTCCCAAATATGTGCGTTGTGTGGCGCAAATTTATCGCTCCCTTTGATGCACACGCAACAACGCCACCCCACCCAGGCAGCTGCCTCAATCTGTTTAGCTTTCCAATATTTTCTACTATTTATTTTCGAAACGACTCCTTTTCACTCCGAGTGAAAATTCTGAGCCGGTGGGCGGCCCAGAAGGGGGAAATCAGAGACAGAAGATTTTCTGGTATGGATGGATTTTTAAAAATAATAAAAGGACCCTTTAAAAAAACAAAAGAAGGTAACAAAGAGTGTGGAGTTCTTTCAGTTTCTGCATGGTGCCTGTTTACGGCCTGTTGGCTGCTTTCTGAACATTTCGAAGAGAGAAGACTGTTCAGCGTTCCTGTACTTTACTCCCTTCTTGTGCTAAGATAATCAATGAGAGACTTTTCCCTTTTGCTCCCTGGCAATCTGATCTGGATACAATCCAATGGAGAAAAGGCCCAGATGTGAAGAGACCTTGGCTCAAAGTCTGCCTAGCCGTGGTCTTATCACCTGGGCAAGTCGCATATGCCTCAGTTTCCACATCTGTACAATGGGATGCTAAGAATGTTGGGTGGGGTGGGCACTGGAGGGCTCAGTGGCCCAGCAGCTGATTGCATGCAGAAGGTCCTGGGTTCAATCCCTGATTCGGAGAGAGAATCCTGCAGAGCTAGATAAACCAATGGCTTCACTTTGTGTAAGACAGCTTCCTGGCAAGTCGACTCTGCACGATGTTCACAAGCAAGGACTGCAAAAACGCCACGTATATTATTTCTCTTCTCCCTCTTAAAAAAAGTGCTGAATAAATGGCTGTGATTAATAATATAGTCAAAGCTCTACTGAAAGCATAGCTGGAAAAAACAACAGCCCACCTCCTGCGGGATGCTTCAGTTTTGCTGAGTTTTGTCCCTGGGGCCAAAGGAGATGATGAACCATAAGATGGGGTGCTGCCATACCTGAGCACAAGGTGGCGCCAGAGGACAAGCAAGCCGTAAAGGCTAGGAGATCCAAGGGCCAGAAAAAATAAAGTAAAATAAAGTAAAATAAAATGATAAAATAAAATAAAATAAAATAAAATAATTATTCATAACCTGCCCATCTGGATGGGTTTTCCCAGCCACTCTGGGCAGCTTACAGCATATCTAAAAACATAATACAGTGGTACCTCGGGTTACATACGCTTCAGGTTAAATACGCTTCAGCTTACAGACTCCACTAACCCAGAAATATTACCTCAGGTTAAGAACTTTGCTTCAGGATGAGAACAGAAATCACGCGGCGGTGGCGCAGCGGCAACAGGAGACCCCATTAGCTTTCTTCAGGTTAAGAACAGTTTCAGGTTAAGAACAGACCTCCGGAACGAATTAAGTACTTAACCCGAGGTACCACTGTAAAAACATCAGGGTAAAATGAAAGGAGCCCCTGTTTTGCCACAGACACTGTGGCCCCCCACCTCCCTGCTTCCAGTCCTAGAGATGCAAAGGTTACAGAAGGAACTCTGCACATGCTCAGAAACATTTGTTCTGGGTTCCTGCCTTCCCATGTGAATTTGATTCATCACAGCCTCTAACCCAGGGCTTTTCAAACTGTGTGTCGCGACACATTAGCGTGTCGGCTGCAGTGTGCAGGTGTACCGCACAAACACTCCTTGTGCTCTTTCCAGGCTGGAAAAGGGTTAGTTTAACCTCTGGTTTGCTAGTAAAACTGAATTACTGTGTCAGAAAATGATGCGGCATGTCTAAAAAGTGTGTCACAACATGAAAAGTTTGGAAAGCTCTGCTCTAAATGCTTACGCTCTCATTCATTTGCACCTCATCAAGAGGAACAAACCACTCCAGTCCAGCCGTCAGAGATAACTTTTCATTCAGCGTTTTCTTGGTGAGCAAAATATTAACCGCATAGATTTTGGAGGCAATCGATGTGCCAACTCGCAAAGAAATGATACACGCATCACTATGAACTTGTCACATCGTCAACTCAGATACCAAACTTGCTCGGGATAACTGATAAGGGAATGACCCTAGAGTTTTGTTTTATTTATTACTGATTCCAAGGCATCATGTAAAAAGCGAATGACAATTGACTATCGTATACAGAATAGTGTGATTATGTTACTGTAAGTTTATTTTAAAGTAAAGGTAAAGGGACCCCTGACCATTAGGTCCAGTCATGGCCGACTCTGGGGTTGCGGCGCTCATTTCGCTTTACTGGCCGAGGGAGCCGGCATACAGCTTCCGGGTCATGTGGCCAGCAGGACTAAGCCACTTCTGGCGAACCAGAGCAGCACACGGAAACGCCGTTTACCTTCCCGCGAGAGCGGTACCAATTTATCTACTTGCACTTTGATATGCTTTCAAACTGCTAGGTTGGCAGGAGCAGGGACCGAGCAACGGGAGCTCGCCCCGTCGCAGGGATTCGAACCGCCGACCTTCTGATCGGCAAGCCCAAGAGGCTCTGTGGTTTAACCCACAGCGTCACCTATTTTAGGTTTAGTTTATTAGGACAGCCTGAGTGGGTTTTTTCCTCACGTGGTAGTGACTTCAGTTTATTTCAGCACGTGATGAATTCTGAATTAGATATATACAGGGGCACCAAAATCTTTTAAGTGCTCAAGGCCTCTAAAGGTCTTAATCTGCCCCGGGCGCCACAACGGGAAGCCCAGAAGACCTGAACACAGCAGCCTTCTCCCCTCTTGCAGTTCCCAACAACTCATCAACTCCCTTCCCTATTCTTTCCCTGAGAGATGGCTGTTGGGGACACCCCCAATTATTTTTTTTTGTTCCCGGATACATCTGCTAGGAGGCTGGGCTGCAGATGGATGCATAATAGGC